GCATGTAATTTTACATATTAAATACACAATTTATCTGTAATATTTTCTTAGATTACTGGCCTTTGAATAAGAGAAATTTAGAGATATTAATGTTTCTTGCATTTCTCCTTCTCATTTCACAGATGAGAAAACAGAGAGAGGCCCAGAGAGCAGCAGTAATTAAAGTTTATACTAATAACTAGTTAAGTAAGCCAAGTTTTGAAGTATAGTATTCTAAAATTCCATTTAGAATTTTATTATAAAATTTATGTTAATCAATTAATATAAAATGGTGATTTAAATGTATCACTGATGCCTGTATATGATAAAAACTCATTTTTGTGCTTTACACTTTAATTACAAATAATTTTTCAACTAAATATTTTTATACGTTTACTTATAATTTATAGTTCACTACATGTAAGATGTAAGTGTTAATTTTGAAACATATCATATATATATATATATAATCCTTGAAACTTATCATACATAATATTATGATTATGTTTATTTTCCTTATGTTTATTTCAAAATTGACTTATAAATTCCTTTGAACAATTCTTTCATTCTTATTGTAGGACATTTATTTTGTCCTGATATTCTTTTGGTGACCCATGAGGATAAAAGCATCTGAGCCAATCTAAAGCTGGATAGTGACAGGGCAGTGGTGTGAACAGAGAAGGCCTGTGTCCCTCTGAGCTAACAGTCACTTGAGCTACATAAAAAGTCATTACATCTTTCAACCTTAAGAGTTTCTGTGGATAAGATGAAAGTGTTCAGTTAAGTGAATTAAATCTGATCTCACTTCTACCTCTATAAAAGTGTCCAGATTTACAGCTATTTTCACACTGAGTGATTTATGGAGTCCTTTCTTTTGACAAATAAATGGCCAGGGTCAGCGATTATCTGTCATTGCATTTTATTCTTCAATCTTCTTTCATCACATCTAAAAAGAGCTCTTCTATTTCTACTCAGTGAAGGCCAGATTGATTTAATTTTTGTTTATTTGTTTCATTTAAGAAAAAAAGACATTTTTAATTGTCAATAAAGTCTTACCACATTGTGTATACAGTAAATGTGAAACTCCATAGATGTATTTTTTTTTATATTTTGCTCTTCAGTTTTCTATATGACTGCTTTCTTCATGGCATCCTCCCAATGCAACATTTTTCTACTTTGCTTGTACTCACTCATTACTACAGACTAACCATATCTTCTTGTCATGAATTCTTTACAAGTATTACTTTGAAAGTCTGTACACTATGCCCTAAAACAGATGCAGACTATTTAGACTATTTTAATTACCAATGATGAAAATATAGTTGTATACAATTTTTTTTTTGTTACTGCCATTTTTCTTTTATATTTCAATCATCAAAGTCCCCAGTTGTTAAAATTAGTTGATTAAAAAGAAAACATATCCCCTAGGCTTCAATGTGTTCATAGTTTTTTTAAAATTTATAATTCCAACCAGCTATGCATTAATGTCTTTTTTAATTTCTTATTAAATCTTAACTGTGTACATTAATGCACTTATAAGGTGGAGACTTTACCTCTTTTATGTTTACATGGATGGAGCTGGAACATATTCTTCTTAGTAAAGTATCTCAAGATTAGAAGAAAAAGTATCCAATGTACTCAGCACTATTATGAAACCAATATATAATTACCCATACTTTCACATGAATGATACAACACAACTATTGCCCAGAATGTCTTCTTAACATGACTATTCTATGATAGTATTGTCCCTTTCCATTTTCTCTTTCACTTAAAATTGTTTTTAATAGATCTCTCATGGAGATGACACCTGTAATTTAAAGAGTTCAAATTTTAATTAGTTCTGTGTTCTCCAATCTGTTCCATTCACGTATGTGTCTATTTTTATACCAGTACAATACTGTTTTAGTTCCCATAAACTTGTGGTATGATTTGAAGTCAGCTTTGCTCTTTGTTCTCAAGATTGCTTTGGTTATACAGGATATTTTTGGTTCCATGTAAATTTTAGGATTATTTTTTATAATTCTGTGAAAAGCAACATTGGTAATTTGATAGACATTGTGTTGAATTTCTAGGTTTCTTTGGGCTGCATCATAATTTTAATGATACTGATTCTTCTAATCCATGAACATGGAATGTTTTTCCATTTGTATGTATCATCTACAATTTTTTTTTTTTTTTTGGTCAGTGATTTGTACTTCTTGTAGATATCTAGAGATCATTTGCCTCCTTGGTTAAATGTTTTCCTGTGATTCCTGTGTTGTTTTCTTTTTTATCTATTGTGGATGGACTAACCTTCTATATCTGATTCTCAGCTTGATCATTGTCAGTATATGGAAATGTTACTGATTTGTGTACACTGATTTTGTATTTTGTAACTTTAATGAAGTCATTTATAAAATATAGGAGCCTTGTAGCTGAGTCTCTATTTACATTTTTGTGCTCTTATATGAAAAAAGTTTTATGAATTATATAAGAACTTCACAGAAAACTTTCATTTTTTAAATTAATTATTTTTAAAATTAGCATAGTCTGATAGTCTTTTGACTTATGCTGAAGACATTAAAATGTACTACATCTTACTTTTGACATTCATCCAAGGTTAGTACATGTGGGTGGTCATCCTCTGACATGGTTATAACTGCTTCTCTGTCAAAAGCTCCAGGCCGAGTCTGGTCCACTGTGTGTCTCGTGATGGAAGAGGTGGTTGAACTGGTCCAGTATAGTGTATCCCATGCTCTGTGATAGGCAAGTCCTTCCACAGAACCCACGTCTGATGGGGGAAGAAAAATGTTTACATTTTTATTTACAAAAAAACATGGCCTCTAGACAGAAAAACATGTAAGATATATACATATGCCTGTTGTTTTAACAACCATTTATTTCTCTACAAACTCTCCAAAATAAAAATATAGTAATTCTGGTGCCTATAATAGGAAGGCTGATTACACACAGCAAAATATAGCTGTGAATTGGTATAATGTCATGGGAAATGTTTTTGTAAAAATGTCATTGAATACTTAAACATTTCAGCAAATAAATTAAAAACCCCAAAGTGTGAGGAATTATTCAAGTCTTATGAAAATAGTCAGATGAAAAGAGCTGTTTCTAGGTTTACAAAGTGTACTATTTAGTTTGGAAAGCCAATAGGATTTTGTGAGAATGCAAAAGAATAATCAAATTTTGAACCAGGTTTATTTCATGGCATTAAATTTTGAAATTTGTTCCTTCTTCTATATGCAGCACAGAAAATCCCATAATAATATAATGAATAGCTACCATTTATTGGATGATGCCTACCTACTAGAAAGTACGCAAACTCCTTTGAATATATCATTTTATTGTATGTATAAATCTACTTTGTGAAGTTTGATTGTTCCTCTTTGCTTGCAAATGAAACTGAAACTGATGTTATAGGACTGATAAAATTAAAGCAAAATTTGTACCCTAAGATTGCCTGCTTCCAAAAGCTTATGTCCTTAACAACACCACTATTTGGAGATGGGTTTATAACACTGAATATTTATTTTTGATCTATACCAAGCTGTAAACAAATAACTCATTAGTCTTAACCTGTTTTACTCTGGGAAAACTGTACAACTTAGTAATTTACCATGAATAAGCTTCCACTTAGTTATCAAAACAATTTAGAAGGAATCATGGGATAATTAATGACAATCTAGGCTAGGTATGGTAGAAGGGAAATTATGAAAAAATATATAATATATTCAGTTAAGCTAATTTTATGTGGTTATGTATTTTTATTTCAGATCAACATGATGGTACAAATAATCAGTTTAACTGCATTTGTTAGGTAAGGTCCCTGTTGTAGTAGTGTCCTGCACCCAGAAGGTGTGCCATATACCCTTACATCACGCCTGTTAGGGAGCACACCAATTGCCACCCTCCTCCCCTTTTATGTAGTTCTTATAGTGCTCTATTTGGACTGAGTGGGTAGGATGTTGATAAAGGTGTTTCAAGTATTAATTATTAAATCATTAAATCATTAAATCCAAATTCATTTCAGAAATGCAGTTGAGTCTATTATTATTATTTTGAGTGCTACATTCTTTCATCATTTACAAATATAATGAGAAAATGGCATAGATCTAAAAAAATCCAGGCAAATGAAAATCATTCATCCACCCTCATTCTGTGTCATCTCTTCCAGTGACTTTGACAGATCTTCCTCCAGGTTACTTCGTCCTGCCAATTCAGGAAGAAACCAATTGGTATCATATTGAGATACAGCAGATGCTTCTTTTATATGGTTGATAGAATTCCATGGTTATTAGAGTATAAAACTCATTTCACTAACCAGGTACAATCTCCATTATTGTATTTATTTATTTATTGTTATTTTGAAAAAATTAGTGGATATAGATATTCTTTATTACATGGATAAACTGTATCATGCTGACATAAGGGCTTTCAGTGTACCTGCCACTAGAACAGTATACATTGTACCACATAGACATTTTATTCCTCACATCTCTTCTACCCTCCCCCTTTCCTAGTTTACGAAGTCCATTACTATTCTTATTATCACATAAATGATAGCCTTGGTTAACTCTCATTCATAAGGAAGAACATCTGATATATGTTTTTCCACTCCTGAGATACTTCACTTAGGATAATCATTTCTAGTTCCATTCAAATTGCTGCAAAAAACATGAATTCATTCCTTGTAATGGCTGAGTAGTACTTTATGGTGTATATACAGAGGGTACAAAAATGTATACACATTTTAAGAAAGGAAAAAACTGTACTAAAAATTGTAAAACTCAAGCCACATTTGACTTTTACAATTACAGGAGATATAAGATACAGTATATAAGATAAAAATATTATTATATACTGAGAATTACAATTTCAGTACTTTTTTTTTCTTTCTTAAAATATGTATACATTTTTGGCACCGTGTGATATATATTCTTTTTTTTAAGTGTGTGTGTATATATATGTATTTTTTTCTTCTTCCACTCATTAACTGATTAGCATTTAGATTGATCCCATATCTCTGCTATTGTGAATTCTGCTGCAACATTCAGGTACAGTTGTCATTTATAAAATTACTTCTTTTCCTTTGAGTTGATATTCAGTAGTAGGACTGCTGAATTCGATAGTAGGTCTGCTAAATCAAGTGGTAGCAATACTTCTATTTCTTTGAGGAATTGCAATACTGCTTTCCATAGTGGTTGTACAAATTTATGTTCTTGCCAAAGTAAATGAGCATTACCTTTTCACTTACAACCAACCATGCAATGTCTTTTTTTTTTTTACCTTTTAATAATAGCTGTTCTGAGAGGAGTAGATGGTATCATACTATGATTTTAATTTCAATTTCTTTGATAATTAGTAATGATGAGAATTTTTCCTGTTTGTTGGTCATTTGTCTATCTTATTTGAAAAGCTTTTTTTCATGTTTTTTGCCCATTTTTTGATTTTTTTTTATTTTTCTTGCTGATTTAAGTTCTTTGTAGATTCTGGATTTAGGATATTATCCCTTTGTTGGACTTACAGTTTGTGAATATATTCTCCCATTCTGTAGGCTGTCAATTTACTTTGTTGATTATTTCCTTTGCTGTGAAAAAGCCTCTTAATTTAATTAAGACTTATTTATTTATTTTTGTTGTTGCCGTATTTGCTTTAGGGTTTTTACTCATAAATCTCATAAATTCTTTGCCTAAGCCGATGTCTAGAGGAGTTTTTACTATGTTTTCTCCTGGAATTTTTATGATTTCATGTATTACATGTAGATCTTCAATCTATCAAAGACTAGATGATCACGCAGAAAAAGCACTGGACAAAATTCAACACCCTTTCATGATAAAAACTCTCAAAAAACTAGGCATAGAAGGAAAAACCTCAACATTACAAAAGCATTATATGACAAACCCATATCCAACATCATAACTGAATGGGAAAAAATTGAAAACACTCCCCGTAAGAACTGGAACAAGAGAAGGGTGCCCACCTCAGCACTTCTATTCAACATCGTACTGGAATTCCTAGCCAGAGCAAATAGCCCAGAGAAAGAAATGAAGGGCATCCAGATTGCAGAATGAGAGGCCAAATTATCCCTGTTTTCCACTGACATAATCTTATACCTAAAAAACTCTAAAGATTTCACCAAAATACTCCTAGAACTCAAATATAAATTAGTAAAATTTCAGGTTACAAAATTAATTTATACCAATCAATAGCATTTCTATTCAGTAATAAAAGTCAAGCTGCGTGTCAAATCAAAAACTCAATACCATTTACAACATCTGCAAAGAAAATTAAATATCTAGAAATATACTTAATCAAGGAAGGGAAAGATTTCTACAAGGAGAACTAGAAGGCATTGATTAAAAAAAATCATAAATGGCACAAACAAATGAAATGTTTGTTCTCATGTATTGGAAGAATCAATAATGTTAACATGTACATATTACCAAAGTGATTTATAGAGCCAACACAATTCCCATCAAAATCCCAATGTTATTTCTCACAGATATAGAAAAAATAATACTAAAATTCATATGAAACCAAAAAAGATTCCAAATAGCCAAATTAATCTTACGCAAAAAGAACAAATATGGCTCAAATTATACTACATGTCCATAGTAACCAAAAAAACTTGGTACTGATATGAAGGTACACACA